TGTTTAAACATCTAACCTATAATGAAAGTAGCTTTTTTCAACCTGCAGTAAAAAGTCTGTATGACATCAGTTTGGTCTGGGAGCTCTTGGTATGGTGTGTTCACTGATGGGGAGAAAAAAATCAGATTCAGCAGCTGTTTTTTTGTTTTTGTTCCCCGTCTCACGTTCTCTCCTGTTCTTCCTTTCTGCTCTGATTGATGGTCCTTCCTTCCTATCTGCTCTGCAGTACGGGCTCTAAAGCTCTTCCTTTAGTTGGGTTGAACTGAAATTAAAACTACGGTTAGGAGCCTGGATGCCCAGCCTGATGGACGGCCTGTTGCTGCAGCGGAAGTTAAAATCTAACAGATAATGGTTGTTTAAAGTCAGAGAGCATAGGAAGGAAGGATTTCACCATGCAAATGCATCGTTCATGTTTGATTGGTTTTACAGACAGATTAGGGGTAAAGTTTAAATTCTGTGGACCTGCTGATTACATACTGAATAAATATTAAACATTTAATAAAATACAAATACTTATATTCCAGTAGTAAATCTGTGACATATTACAGATTATTGCAAAGACCAAAAACCATAATAGTTTATTTTAATGCATTTCTTTAATAATTCAGTGTTAGGTCATAACTATAGTTACTAAGGTGAGTCTTTGGTGAAATAACTGCCCAGTCCTGCTCTAACCTCTGAACAGGGAACGATTTACCATTAGGNTGGGTCGTTTTCATCGAATGTCGGTGATTTTAAAGTCATTTTGAGTGATAAATAATTATTATTTTTTTCGATCATTCCACTTGCCTGGCAGGCAAATGCAATGAAAGTTGTACTCTCCCAACAATAAAAACTACTTTCCCCGGGCGATCGGGCGATGGTTAACATCGAGCCCTGTAAATATATATATATATATATAGAGAGAGAGAGAGAGAGAGAGAGAGAGAGACACTGTAAAAATGTATAAATATATATTTCTATATTGTTACACTTTGAAAATACTGTAAAAATATCCAGAGCTGTACATTGATTACTTATCCTTCAGATGCACAATAATGTGCTGCTCAGTGCCGAGTCGCCCTTCTTCTGTTCTGCTTAGGGTAGCGGCTTGACCTCCCCAAGATGGCGCCCGTAATTCCTGTGCTGCGACAGTCAATGCAGGTCTACTGTCATATCTCTATGTCTATGAGACAAAAGGTCAAATCAATCAGACGTCTTTTCTGACATAAGGTTTGGCCTTGGGCCCCTAATTTCTTAAATCTGCCTCTGTAACATAACAAACACCTGATTTTCTAAACAGTTTGGATCCTTGCTGGGTTTAAAGTTCAACCAGCGGAAGAAAAATCGGTTCTCTGAATAAAAAAAAGCCTCATCAGTAAAATTCCTGATAGAAGGAAAGTAGATCAATGATTTATAATAATCTGTTGTTAATGTCAGACAGGACAGTTAGACTGTCTGCACTCTGCTTTGGTTTTATAGTTGATGAATAAACCTGATGAAGTCACTTTCATCCAGCGGGGAAGCAGGTTTTTCCTTAGAGTCCAGCTTTGGTTTGACGTT